GTGCAGCAGCACTGGGCAACGATCCGAAAACCTTTATTTAAGAGCTCAAGCAAGATATTGCGATCTGCCACTTTATATCTACATGTAACATTCAAAGAATCAGTGTATATAAAGAAAAGGAAAAAATGGGAACATCGTTAACAAAAAGCCAAAGAAGAACGGGTCAGTCGCGCTTCCATGAATGAGTCCACCTCTTACAGAATGGGGCTGGAGATAACCTTAGAAAGTTTAATTAAGGTTTGAGCGTGCAAAAAGGTGGATGTTAACATCTGAAGCTAGCTATCTTCACAAAAAGAAACAAAAATGAAGAAGGAGACCACCTGTACTAAAAGCTGTGCCTACTTCCCTTCCTAATCCTAAATTTCTCGCGTCGGAAAGCCTTTTATAAGATAAGTTTAATGCTTTATGCCTGTCTGTGGTTATATATTTGCATTCTACGGCTTCCATGTGGATGGTAAATTGCGGGAATAACTGTTAGACCATGAAGTCACCGACGGGTTTAACTGTACCCAAGAGTAATTGTGGTCCTTTTCCAATTGTTCAGTTTGCACGGAGCCCACTGAGTTTTTTGGAATATATAAACATCATTGTCCTGTCCTTTCAGTGCACATATAGAATGTGATATAGAGTCTTTTAACCCAGCAACATGTAGTTCAGTAAGAAGTTATTATTTATATGAGAAACGCGATTTCCAGGAAAGTAATGCACGCTTCTAACCATGATCCTATTCATTACCCCCAATCTCTAATTGGCTCCGAATGAGTACTTGTTTTAACACTCTAAATTGTCTCTAAAGCGTTTGAATGGGTAAGCGTTGATGACCTATTTATCTTCTAAGATTTTCGTGGATTTATCTGAGCGATTTATCTTTGACCATGGTTTTGTTCTGTCTTAGCGTCAATAAAGACTGTATCTGCACGTTGTAGATGTGTGTTTTTGCCACTCTCGAAAGACTAGATTCTATTAGTGGAAATATATTTTCACTTGCCCTTTTGTTCGGGATATATCCTGAACAAAAGGGATGTTTCGCCTAGGCTTTCAGTATATGGACGTATTTCTGATGAGTTGTAGTACCTAATCTTCCGATAGGCTATTGTTATCGCAAAATTACTTTGTTGGTTTGTACATTGTTGTCGTAGCTGATTACGTCACATTTCGATATTGTTAGTTTTGATGTCATATTTTGACGCTGCCACTTAGTCTCATTAGCGGCATCAGGGCATCACTTGATGCACAATTTGCATTTATTTACCGTAGCGTTTCGAACGTGGCTGAGCTCTTTCGCTAGTTGTCCAGTTGTCGAACAGTCCTTTAGGATGTCCTGTCAAGCGGAGTATGCTGTGATGTCTAGGATTTGGAACTCTGTAAAAGGGTCCTGTGTC